TGCACTAGGAAGAGGAGAGCTAGGAGATTATCGTTCAGAGGAAACGCTCTTCGATGATTGTCAAGGCGTTCCTTGTTCCATGTTTCGAAATAGCGTGCGGCATATGTGTCTCTCTCGGCTGCATCCTGCATGCGCAAGAAGGTTTGGTCTGCCTGCACAGCTTGCATGAAATCTGGATGGGCATCCTCCAGAGCTATCTCTGGTAAGAGATCCATCCATGAGTTTTTCACGCGCTGTAGCACGATCTCAAACTTGGCAATCCAAGTCACAAAGTCTTGGTTGCCCTTCCATGCCTTGAATAGGCCGAGGAAACGCCACAGGAAAACGTACTGTTCTCCTTTCACGAAAAATGGACGCATCTTCTTCTTGAAGTAATCTACTCCATCTGGGGCTGCAAGCCTTTCTCGGTTCAGTGATTCCTTTTGTACTGCGGCCAATCCGGAGAGCCTCGTCTTGAGAGACGGACCTCTTTTGGTGTCATCCAGCGTTGTTATGTCGCACCAGTCGTCAATCAACTGTTCATACTCAAACCACGAGGTGGTGCCATCATAGGCAGGCGCGATCTTGGGCGTTATGCCTAATGATGCAAGCATGCGGTCAGATGTTGCATATGACTGTGCGACATAAGTGGCTGGACCTTGGGAGGTCTCTTCGTTCTCATATCCCCCGGAGGATTGGGAACTGTCGTCGGCTTCGCTATGCGAGCTCGACATTGTGCTGCCTCTTATCCGCTTGGTTAAGCGTTCGGCGAGGCCGACCGCTGTAGCGGACTTTGGGAGGCGGGCGGCCCTTTCCGGGCTCCGCTACCAGAAAACTGAGCCGATACACCCACAAGGAAATGCTCCTTGTTAGGAGGTGTATGACCAGTTTATTCCCTAAGGATCAAAGGGCAGCGCCCTGCACACGGACAGTAGTTGTTTTGTCTTGCTACGCAAGGAGAGCTTGTCTTGTCTCAATATGGTAAAACCACTGTGAGCCAATGGGCAGCGGAATGTATATGTATGAGCATGCAGCCATTGCTGTAGGTACCTGTTAGAGCTACCCCTTTAGAGGTTTACGCAAACAGGGGGGCTTAAAGGGGGGCTTTAAGGGGGGTTTAAAGGGGGGCTTGAAGGGGGCTTCAGGGGGGGCTTAAAGGGGGGCTTTAAAGGGGCTTTAAGGGGGGCTTAAAGGCTTCGACCCTTTGCCCCCCCCCCCTGTCCCCTTAGGGGAGACCCCTTTAAAGGGGGCCTTTAAAGGGGGGCTTAGGGGCCCATCCTCTCGCTTTCAGCCCCTAAAAGCGATTTCGTGCTTCTTCTTCTTTTTGTGTGTTAGTTTTTGTGCGGTTTGCGTTGCAAAATTCATATTGTGGCGCTCTTTGTTGTGTTGTTTGATATGTCATGTGTGCGTGCTTCTATCTTTGCTGAGGTCAGAAAAAAAACATTAGAGGCCCAGAAAAAGATCCACCGGGGTCCGAAAAAAGAGACGGGGTCAGTTACGAGATATTTCGAGGCCGAGAAAAAGACGGCTTAAATCGTAGAGTGGAGCTCGAAAAAAAGAGCGTAATCTTTTTCTAGACCTCGTCGCGGGGCTGAAGAAAAGATGGAGGTCGGAAAAAAGACATGCCGGGGTCGAAATCAAGATGGACCAAGCGTGGGGTCTGAAAAAGATATTTCGGGGTCGAAAAAAAGAGCAGCCCTTTTGCGTTCTTGGCTGAAACGTATGTCGTGTCAGCACTTCGGATGCCCAACCGATGCTCCAACCTGGCATGGAGGCTTCTGCGAGCATGACGCTGTTGCCATATTCGACCTTTCTGTCGCAGGATTCCCTGCCGCCACAGCCACTGCCTTAACTCTCGCAGCGCCTCCCACAACTCCCTTGGCGATAGTGGCCTGGGACTTCGCTGTAGCATTTGAAAGCTATCGGGATATTCTGGTTGTTGGCAGTTTTGTGCATCGCTGCCATCCAGTACGGGACCTGTGCGGCATTGGAATCTTTCCGTTGTTCGGTGAGCTGTTGCGCAGACATACTTTCGACACTGCCGAGTTTCAGTTCACCCAGCCGAGCAGGCGCACTGATGATGTCGCTGGCGTCCGATTTCAGGAGATATGATGCCACAGCGTAGGACCGGCACCGCGTCTCGTTGAGCCAGCGTTACACGGTGGCACTGCCGTAAAACTCACGGACAGAAGAGCAGGGCAGGACCGGAAGGAGCCGGGCGGGACCGGAGACCTTCTAGGTTGTAGGCACCGACTGCGTCAACGAAGGCCGTGTCCGTGTGGTGTGGAGGAGTTTGTGGAGGTCCTTTGTGCCCGCCCGCGCGCGTGCTCAACCCAAACTGGTACGGGAGACAAGCTTCTTGATCTTTTTGGAAAGCGGCGGCAAAGTGTTGCGCCAGCGCACGGGCACCAGGCGCCTAAAGACGTCACCCGCAATTAGGGCCCGCGCGCGTGCGTCCATTCGGCTTCTTCAGTGCCACCATGCGCAGACGGGCAAGCAGTTGCTCTGGAACGTCTGCGTAGGCCAAGCGCTCGGCAGCTCGGTGGAGCAGCGCACCATCAGCTGGGTCGTACCGGAAAAGGGCGCTGATGCTCGTTGGTCGCACCATCCAGCACGGGAAGGGCCGGCTGCGAACTTGCGCTGTGCTCCGTGCAGGCATGCACCCAAGACCAGCGGACTCCGGCAGCTTCGGGTGCCGTGCTCTAGCCGGTGGAGCGCGAAGAGCAACGTGCCACGCATTCTGCGCGCCGCTCCGTGCAACGTGAGGACGCGACGGCGAAACTTTGCGGTGAGGTCGAGCTTGTGAAGTTGTGCAAGGCTTCTATCAACGTCGATGCTGCTGGCGGACGTTTGCCGCGCCGGAGTGTTGGCCAGCAGCTTTCTTTCCCGCTCGTGAGCCCGGCTCCAGCATCCACAGATGGTGAGGGATGCTAGCAATGGCGGCCCCACGGGCGTGCGCCGTATCGTCCTTGGAGATGCTGCTGGCGAGTGCTGAGCAGCCCGACGGTGACCCGCCACCGCTAAGAGATCTGGTGCAGACAGCCGGCTACGGTAGCTCTAATAAGCCAAGACAAACCTACGTGTGCAATTGGAACAAGGTGCGGAGATGAAGCAATCATTTTGCTGTCCGTGCCCGTATCCACTATGTGGCAGCCATGCGTTTTCAAAGTGCCAGATCCTTGTGTGAAGGCTTGCTGACGCGATAGCCTTGATTCGTATCCCCAAGGCGTTGTCGCCAATGCGTACAATTCACATGTTGGCAACGATCGTGAATGGTTGTTCGAGGACCGAACCTCCTGCGCGTCATTAGGACGATGTAGTACCTCACTGTGGCTCACTCATTCCACCAATGGCCCCGATGCCGGGTCTCGTGCGCTCTTGGTGTTGCTGATTCCCCTTGGTGCCACCGCGACAGCTATTTCGCAGATAAAATATAGTTAGCCTGCAAACCCGTCCAGGTTTGCTTGCCCCTGTGCCGGTCTGCTTGCATGGCGAGCCAAGCCGCTTCAGCATGCATGGGCCAGGGTCGTGCGTGAAGCTGTCGGGGGATGCCAAGGGCTATGGCTCGCTCGGACGCCTAGTGTTGACCGGGGCAATCGCCGGCGCTTCGACTTCGGAGTGTAACGCTGGTCACGTGCACGGCCCCCACAGCCATCCACAACCACTCAGGATTGTGCTGCTTTTACTGCCGCAGAAGCTGCCTACCTGGACGCGGAGGCTGTGCGTGCTCGCATGCGACACCGCGCTGCGAGCCCCGGTTCCGCTTGGGGATGCCGCCGCGCATGCAGCGGTGGTTGGTGTTTGCTAAGCGTGGCTGTGCAAAACACGCTTGCTGCGCTTTGCTCGGGTTTCCGCCTATCGCCGTGATCCTGCTTCACAGGCGCCGCTTGTGCAGGATTTGCTGCACGACTCCGGCGCGACGTTTGCCCGCTTGTGCATCCCTGCTTGCCGGCTCGCTGAGCAACTGCAGCAAACCCGTAGTCTGGATACCAGATCCTGCGTGTCTCGGGTGGGTGTTCCTGGAACTCTGCAGTTGGTGTGTCGCTATTGGCCATTCCCACGGATGCAATATGACGCAATTGAATGGTACTTATAGGTCGGTCGTAGCTGTGAAACAACCGGTGGCGAGGAAGAATGTGTTTTAAAAACATCCATCGTGCGCGATGTGATTTTCGCCACTGATGTGCAACTGCCTGGAAACGCATTCGCGCAGAGTTGATTTTCGTGAAATGGTGCACAGTTGACTCTCCTGGATGATGCGTGGCGGGGCGTGTTGTGGTCAAGGGTTTACGTCTGCTTGGAGTGTTTTGTGTATTTTGTACGTGTTTGGTAGCTGTTTCTTGGGTTTGGGGTCACGGGTGCTGATTGGTTGTGAGTAGTTCCATTTGCATATACAAGGATGCGACGCAGAAGCAAGAAGAGAGAGAGACAGAGAGAGGTGGTGAAGGCGGGTGCATGCTTTCCGCGACATATCGGCTCTTACAGAACAAGGCATTCGACATGAACAATCCAAGTAACAGCAGTGGCATATTGTTACAGCTACTGTTCTTCATTCGGCATCAGCAGTCCAATTCTTGCCATGCAAGCACGGGATAAAAATCGTGACATGGCCCACCTAGGGCGGAGAACGGCGGCACATGGGAAGGTCTGTGGCCAGAGCTCTCCTGTCTTTGCGTGCGAAATGAGCGTACTAGCATGTTTCCGCAGCCGTACACCGTGCGCTCCAGGGAAGGCAGGGAATTAGAAGCCCACATCGCAACAGTGAAGAAGATGCACGTTGTGATGGTAAACACAGAACCAAACATAACAAAACATATCGCTTGAATTAGACGAAAGCTCATATCCGGGCGGAGGCCATGCCGCTTCAGGACTCCGGTGGTCGTGGTCGTGGTGGTGCTGCTGGTGTTGGCACAGCTGCTGATGACAATGGTGTCGATGCTTAAGTATTTTCTGCACGTGTGTTTCTGCAGATACCCAGCTTGCCGACATCAGCGAGATCAGTAGTGAGATTCATGTTGCAGGCCCGAAGCTCAAAAAACGGTCGGCATCGCCGAAGCCACATGCCGCTTCCAATGCTTCGGCCGTGCCGGAGCCACTGGTTGCCAAGGTGGGGAAGTTGTTTGTTTTGTAGACTCCGGCCGTTGCGAAAAAACAGTGGGAAATCGCAGGGTATCATCTCCGGCGTTCCCGAGCATAAATCGGCTGTGTTCCATATGTTGTTTGGAGTGGTCTCCATGCGAGTGCGGTTAGGTACAAGCACGAGCCGTGCTGGTAGTGGTGTTGATGACAGGCGTGTGTTTCGTGGTCGTCATCATCATAAGTAGTAGTCGTTGTCGACGTCGTCGTAGTCGTAGTCGCGGTGGTGGTTGCAGCAGTAGGAGTCACGAGTGATGATAATGGATTTGCAAAGACACACTATTATTGCACTCGACCCTAGGTGCATGCTTTGGCTGCTCAGGTTGGGCAGGCGAAAGGATCTTCACAGAGTCCACAGCAACGACGAATCCGACAACCAGCAGGATTTGCATAGTTGTCGGAGATTGTAAATATTTACCCCGAGGTTTTCATACTGCCTCACTGCCGATCTTTTTCCAGGACTCCGGTCGAACGTGCTGCGGCTGTATTGTGTGGCCCTAAGGGGGACAGTCACGGCAGTGTCACACCTGTGCTGTTGAGCAGTAGCTCGTGGCTCCGGTTTATTCAATTCATAGCATCGGCACCTGCGACCTTTAAAATTGTCCGCAGCATCCTTAAAAAGTGGCACGTCCATGTTGAGCCAGTGCAAAGCTAAAGTCAACCGTTAGTTTGGCATGCAGCTCATGTGGATAGACGTCATGGAATGGATGTAGCTGCACTTTCGTTTTCACTCCGGTCAGTGTAACAATAACATCTTTCTCCAGGTTCAAACCGACGAGGAGCATTTTGTGTGATAGCCTTTCTGCGCGTTCTGCAATACTCAGCAGACGATGTCCACGGGCCCGAAGAGCGCACAGCTCGAAAGAAAAAAATTGCAATTTCTCGAGAGAATTCAGAACTCGAAAATCAGGTTTCGCGGGGTTAGTGGGAATTTTTCGTACATGATGTTGGCATCGGGCCAATGTTTGAGCAGTGCGCTTGGTATTGATGGATTTTCAGCGTTTTGCGCTTAGGGCGAAATCCACAAACGTGGGTTAATAGCAGTTTTATGGCCTTGTCTTCGGTTCGGAATTTTTCATGAGGGCCGCAGTTGGAGGGTTTCCCACAAGAGACCATGTAAAGGTCCCGTGCATGATGGATTGTTTGAGATTTTGCGTCCTGGGTTTTGCACAGGCTTGGCAGAGGTGGGTCGGTTCACTGAAAAGTTTATGGTGATTTTCCGTTGCCAAAAGCATGGAAATCCCGCATTGTGGAAAAAATGCTTGTGCAGGCCAGCAGTAGTTAGTTAAGCAGGGTTCATTTTGCTGCCTTCCGGGCCGCCCCCTTCCCTCCCTCCATCCCTTCCCCTCTCCCTTTCTCCTTCCCACTCTTTCCGGGCTTCTCCTCCCCTCAATATTCAAGTCAAAAAAAAGAGGAGAAACCCACAGCATAAAAACTAAAATCATGGCCGGGGCGAGAAGACTTGTCATCAGTTGCGTTCCAGAACATATGCGACGGTCCGGGTGATCCCGTGCAAGCGACGTTTCAGCGGCGTCTGGAGATGATGCACTCGCAGGGTTGGAACTGCCCAGCGCGTATGCGGCCAGCTAGCTGTTTGCAACACCAGATGCCCCGTAAGTGTCTATGGATGGCAAACAGCTTGATTGCAGTTTGAGGTGCTGCGGCTTGTTGCTTCATGATTTTTGCATGGACGGGCGCCTCTTGGTATCGTGCGCAGAAGTGTCAGTGCTGAAAGCGTATTTCGATGCATATGTTGAAGTCCTGCGCCTTCAATCTAGCCTGTGTCGTCATAGTGCACATCCGAGGAAGCACTGAGGCAGGAGATACCTGCTGGGAAGTTTCAGAAGATGGACAAGTCTTTGATCGATATCAAGGACTTCGACGTTGACGAACTAGGCTAGGCAACTGCATGGGCGATTGATGTGCGAGAGCCGCTCGTGGTGAAGCAGGCCCGTTTCCAAAATGCCACGAGCATTTTGGCAAACATCTTGTACGAAATGGTGGGGCTGAGAGATGGGCCAAGCAGCTGAGACGCAACACTTTGTGTATATAGCATTGTGACGGAGTCTCTTGAAAGATGAAGGAACTCTGATGTTCCGTACGGTGGTCCATATCCACCTGGCCACCCCGAAAATCCGGCAGCTTGTCGTAAACGGCTCGCAAGTAGTCTGTAAGTACAGTTTTCCAACAGGCTGCAGGAGTACTGCTGTGCCTTGAAGCTGAGGAGTGGTTGTCCAAATCCGCTTCGTCATCGAAGCCAGCTGGCGACAGGTTTGGGCAGTTCCGTGGCCGAAGGCATTCCAAGAAGTTGCAAGAGTGCGCACGTTTACAGGTGACAGTCAGGGGGCAGACAGGCCGATGTTCCACAGCCCAAGCCGAATTTGTGCTTGAGTTCTTGGAGCCACATGGGCGTGTTGACGCGCGGCGGCACGGTACATCTTTTGTTGGGCCACGCAACTCCAGGCTACAAGCTCAAGTGCAGCTGGTTCTGCTACCTGCACTGTGTGTGCTTCTTGTCTTTGAAGCCCAGCATCTCTCAGCGGTTCCTATCCCTTGTCACTGCTGGTGCTCCTTTGCACACAGCTTGTCCAAAAGCTGCGGGAATTTGTCCGAGGATGCTGGCGTCAAAGCAGAGCCTGTGGCTTTTCACTTCCGAGCAAGCCTCCGGAACGGTCACCCCAGTCTTGGAACAGCAGGAGTCGAAATCGCTTTTCTGTTTGGGGGGAGGCGTGTGTCTTTGGCAGTTTCTTTCGTTGCTGTGCTGCCCGGGATTGTGGGGGGAGGGGGGCGTGCAGCAATTGTTGACCCTGCCTGTGCCCTGCCTGGCACTGGCAGCTGCGCCCGACCTTTGTCTCTACTACTACTGATAAACATGCGATAGTCTCATCAGCAAAACATCAAGAATAACCGTAATAAAGATTATGGAAGAAACATATACTGTAAATCCGACTTCTACTGCTACTGCTACAACAACAACAACAACAACTACTACTACTACTACTGCTACAGCTGCCATACAAGAGGCGATACTACTACTACTACCACCACCACCACCACTACTACTATTACTACTACTACTACTACTACTGCTGTTGCGTCTATCTCGCTTACCTCTGTGTTGTTGCCATTGGGGCTTCATTGTGACTAGTTACCAGTTGAGTCCCCGTGAAAGCAATGACAAAAACTACTGCGACTAGACTTAAAGCAGTGGCAATACCAACGATAGTTTTTGAGTAAGAACAATAAACATGAGTAATCAGTGCAGTACAAGCAGCAGTAGTAGTAGTAGTAGTAGTAATAATAGTAGTAGTAGTAGTAGTAGTAGCAGTAGCAGTAGCAGTAGCAGTAGTAGTAGCAGTAGTAGTAGTAGTAGTAGTTGTGGTTGTGGTTGTGGTTGTGGTTGTGATGGTGGTGGTAGTAGTAGTACTAGTAGTAGTAGTAGTAGTAGTGGTAGCAGTAGCAGCAGTAGTAGAAGTTAGCGATGGTAGTGGTAGTGGTAGTGGTAGTAGCAGTAGCAGCAGCAGTGACAGCGGCAGTAGCAGTAGCAGTACCAGGAGCAGTAGCAGCAGCAAGAGCAGTAGCAGGAGGAAGAGGAGTAGTCGCAGTAAAACCATTATGACTTTTCTGTTTAGTCGTGTTATACTATGATTATCACCACCCTTATCATAAGTATTCATGGGTCCGGGCCAGGCAGGGCAGAGGCAGGGTCAGGGAGGCAGGGGCTCTGATTCCCCGCGCCCCTCCCCGCAGCACGGAGGGCAGCACATCAGCGGAAAAGACGAGAATCTTCAAACAATCAAGAAAAACTACGCGCTACGGGGTGTTGCAGCAAGCCAGGATGCATACTGGCTTCCAGTTCTGGGCTCAGGACTGAACCCACAGACCGGGCAGTCAGGTGCCCCTTTTGCATGCACGCTGGGCATTGCGTGTGACAGGAGCCCTATTCGGCCTTTTCGTTGTTATCAAGTTCTTAGGTGTCCTGGCTGAAAAGTCGCCGCAGAATCTTCCGAGGAGGCTAGCAACTCATCGCCGTTCAACTTTCGAGGTCATGATTGGCTAAAGCGTGCAATCACAACGGTCATGGTTTGGGTTTCTGCTTTCGGCGTGGCGTCGAACATCGACACTGTCACCTACCTGGTCCGAAACAAGCGTGGCCTCTGAGCTGCAGTCTGCGGGCAGAGGACTTGACTGCTGACAGTTTGGCATGTTTCGACAGGTTGCTTGGTCTCCTTTGCACAGCTGGAGGCAGAGTCAGCTTGTCAGTGTGCCTGTTCGAGCTTATCTTGGACAGATCTCCCTGGCGAACATCTTTGGCATGCCTGCAGCTGCGGCGCTCGCAGTGGCTTATGCAACTGGATGGAATTCTGACGGTCTCGTAGATCACATTGTTTGCATGACCGCCCCAGGTTTCGACCGGTCATTGGATCGTGAATAACATCCTTGGATTCTCTTTCTGCCTGCTTGGAATCAGGCACCAGCAAGTGCCTGTGCAATTTACCCCAAGATCTCGTGACACGAATCGGGAAAGGTCCATTAACCTGTCCAGCTACGGTGCTGGTGTGGTGCTGCTGAGCGGTTTGTTCGTTTATGATGTGCAGCTGGACTCAAGATAGATAGGTATTTGGCACTGCAGTATCTGACAATGGCAGAAAGGCAGATCGAGGAACAAGGATGGGTTGCTGTCGGCAGGTTTTGGGTTTTCTTCAGCAAGCCGGTTTTCGGAGCGAACGTCATGGTGTCGGTGGCGAAGGGAGTAGAGGCTGGTTGGAGAGACTCGCTGGAAGAAAGCCTGCGTTCTCCCTGCTGACTGTTTGCAGGCTCCAATAAAGCTAATGCTTCCGCGGGACTTCGGTGGGTGCGGCGATCTGCAGTCCTTTGGCAGACACCCGGTCTCTAACCGCTGCACTGGAGCCTAGTTGTCGTGACTCCTCCACAGGTTTAACATGCTGGGCCTTGGCGACATTGCAGTTCCAGGCCGCAGGGGTGCCGGTGCATCAGTTTGCGATGCTTTCTTGGTTGGAGGTTTGTTCGCGGCATTCCTTGCCAAATGGGATGCTGTGCCGCAGCAGAATGGTTTCACAAGCCTGTTTGGCGGTGTGCTCGAAATGCTCAGGTCAACATAGCTGCTGGTTCGAGCAAGAGCTTTGTCTATTTGAACTGTTGCCTTCTCGCGTACATGCTGAGCTTGGTCTTGACGGTCGTTGGGGACCCAGCTTTCAGCTGCTGCCCAGTTCTCCTTACGTGTTCAGTCACAGAGTCCGAAGAATCGAGACCGTGATGACGATCTTCCAGCATGCCCAACCAGCTCTTCTGTACATTTGCCCAAGCGTGCTGCTGGCTTCTCTGGCCGTGGCGCACGCACGTCCGGACCCGAGCTTGAGTTTGAGACGGCACCATAACCAGACCGCAGATCCCGATTGGTTTGATCTGAGGTGGTGAGCTGACGGACCTGGTAGCTTTCTCCGTTCCCGAAGACACAGAAGCAGAAGCTTGAGCCTGATTTACAGTTGACACAGTTGATGACGCCTGTCAATCTCTCCGGGGCTCATGGTCCGTGAGATAAGGAAGGGATCCAATCGGCGTCATCCGATGTGGACAAAAAAGAGTCCACGAGCTCATGCTTCCCATGCCCACAGTTGCTGCAGAGGTTGAAGTCTAGAGATTCTTTGTCGCAAATCCCCGAGCCCGAGCCCGCCGATCTCCTCCGTTGCGCAGGAAGCGGGCTCTCGACGGCCTGGGGGGCCTCGTGCAAGAGGCTCCTGCAAATTGAGGGCTGCCACGTGATCAAAAACCTTGGACATCCTTACTCCTCAAGCCAGAAAGCACAAGAGAAACACCTTGAAGAGTAGAACCCACACAGCCCAAGCTCAGCCGGCTCCAAAGCATTAGCACCGAGGCATCAAGCCCTGAACCACGTCAACAGCCCTGCAAACCTTGCGACACTTCAAAGCACCAGAAACCCTGTGACCAGAAGCCGCATAAACCATGCGACCCTTAAAGGCCCTCAGAAACTCCGGATTTTTGGTGCACCGGAAGTGCTAGCATTAATCCAAGCCATTTCGAAGCTTCACCATTCGAAACATGTCTTTCGTTGCAAGTCCGCGGCTACTCTTGCACCCCATGACATGGTGTCCATCTGTGTTCGTTGCTGCACTTTGCATCGAAGCACGGACGGGGTTTCAATCGGAGTTTGTACTTCTGTAGTCGACTGCAAGGCGCAGCAACAGTAACCGCCATAACCAGGCTGATGCAACTTGATTTGGCAGGATCTTGTCTGCAGAGATCGGAACGTCGTGGAAGCGAGAGGTTTGGGTAACACCAGCTGCTTCAACAGAAGCTGGCCCGTGTCCGACAAGCTTCGACTTCAATGTCACACAGAACACAGGCGAGCCTCCAATGTGGAGCCCACGGCTTCAACGGAGATATGCCATGATATGTCTTGAGTGCGGGCTTTCAACAGCCCTTCTCCGTTCTTCTCCATCTCCGCTTACCAAGTCAGCTGGACCTCTTGCCATCCGAGCTTGCCGACGGTCAATAACGATTTCTTGCACTTTACCCAGGTCGCACCCTTTGGAGTCACAGCTCACACCGCATGACAAGGATTTCAGCGCCACTTTCCTGACCACTGACATTTGATCAATGATTAACAGCAGTCCTGGCCCGCGCTCTTCACAATTGCAGTGCCGCAATGACTTGTCACAACTTTTGTTGTCGCATACGTATGCACGTGGCAACAACAAACAAACCATCAAAGACGAGTGCGTGTTGTTGTGCACCCATGCAGCTACTGCTCCGACCGGCTTCGGGGTAAATGGTCGGGCCCGTTTCCGGAACAGGCTTTGGGTATGTTTGGTGTCCGTCGTTTTGTTGCACCTTTGCCATCCTGTGACGTGCCTTCTGGGTTATATATAACTCCAACCCCGGAAAAAGAGAGGGCAGCGCGTCGATGCTGTTTGACCTGTTTTTTGTTGCCCCAAGCACGAGGCACAGTCTTGTAAAAGTCTAGCTGCTATCCGGCATCAGGCAAGCGATTGTCTTTGGAGAACTGTCACGGACATACACGTTTTGTAGGTCCTGCAGCAGAGTTGCCCAAAGACGTAAGTGCTGGATGGATTGATTTCTCCGATCCAAAGGGTGCCATGTGAACCTGAAAGAGGTTGAATTCACCATACTATCTGACCTACTGCCCTGCTTCGTGTACTCAGCCACGCAGGAGGCAAAAAAGGGTGTGAGCAGCTTCTGTTTCTCGGCAATGGCTGGGCCGACGTGCGAGAAGGTGACCGTTCTCATGATGTCCGGCGACGTTATGGAAATTCCTGCTCTTGGAACACTGGCAGATTTGCGGCAGATCATTGCGCAGTCTGCGCAGACATGTCCAGAGTTTGTGCGGCTTCTTCGCGGTGAGGATGTCCTTGATGAGGGCATTGATATAGAGTCCCTGGCCAACAGGGAAGTGTCCGCCCTAGTCACACCCAGCATCCCCAATTTGCTCAAGGCACTTCGAAAGCATGACTTCAATTTCAGAGGTCTCAATGAGAGATCAACGTCGGCCAGCAAAATCCGTGGACTCAACGTCTTGCACGCTGCGGTGATGACAGGAAAGCTGGACCTGATCCGCTTCACTCTTCTGGAGGAAGATTTTCACGGAACGAATGACACCTGCAGCGACGGCAGTGGGTACACTGCCTTGCACTTGGCAGCAAGCCGTGGCTTGGTGGATGTGTGCCTGGAGCTACTAGCATGTCCGCAAGTCACACACCAGAATGCGCACAGCGTGAAGGATGGTACCGCTCTCCATGTTGCAGCTCAGGGTGGGCATGTGGCTGTTGTGGTTGCACTGCTTGATTGTGAGCGCTTCACCGCTGTGAACGAAGTGGTTGTGGCAGATCAGTGGCGCCAGGATTGGAGAGAAAGGTATGGGCAAACGGCGCTGCATGCTGCTGCAAGGTCTGGCTGCAAGGACGCGGCAAAGATGTTGTTGGACCACCCGCGCTTCACCTCGGTTTTGGCCTACACCAAAGCCTTTAAGGATGCAGAGAAAATGGCAGAAGAAGCGAGGCAGACGGAAATTGCCCTCATGATTCGCAACCACCCCAAGGTACTGAAGTACAGGCGAGCCCAAGCGTAGAGCGACTCGGCATCACAGTGGCAGAGGCAGACAGCTCCTTGACCAGCACGGCGGCTGATACCGCCCGCCGACAAGGCTTTCGAAAAGGCTTCAGAGACAGCCCGGACGGGGCACATTTCTGCTCCCGGCACAGTGCAACGAGACATGAAGCTCCTGACAGGCCTGACAGCAGCGGTTGCACGGATCAGAAAATGCATCCGGGAGCCCTTGCAGATGCTTGAGCATGCTGGCGTAAACTGCCGCCCGGTTGATATGCTCGAAGGCCAACTCCCAAAATGGTCCTGCAGTTGGGCAAGGCCTGTCCAACCAACGGCCTGAGGGACCATGAGTGGTGTTAGACGAGCTGCGTTGAGGTGGTCCACCTGCGAAATTTCACCAATTTGCGCCAGCTCCTTTTTGCAGCGGCTGTCACATGTGGGGAGTCGAACATCCTTTTTTGCATCGCTAGGCCAGGGAACCCGTACTTAGTGACAGTGATGCCGGCAGCCCAGTAGACGCAGCCGCAGCACTAGCCGTCAGTGACGACTCCAGATGCTGAAAGCTCAGGCCTCTCCTGGTCAACCTGGGCAGCGAACATGCCCAAGTATTTGAGAGTTCGCGGCAAGGGCTCGACAGCAGGCTCCTTGCCCGCTGACAGCCTGCTGAGGCTTGCGCTCCAGCACACGAAGCCGCAGAGTCCAAGCACATCATCACGCAGGCATTGCTCGCGGGGCAGGTTTTGGCTGCTGCCCGCACGTGTTGACTTTTGAAGGACTCCTGGCGTTTGGTGAAGATCGAGCCCGAGGTGCAGGTTCGGGCTCTGCCCGGTGAGCTATTGGAATGACTGGCCATGGAGGCATACGTGCCATCCGCACCTGCCAGGACATCGCTGATCACTTCGGTCTGGATGAGCGCATCACCGGCAAGCTGCAAGAGGCCATGGCTTCCCGCGTGGGGGCATGGGCAGTTGCTCCACTGGCGCTCTCTCGCTTCTCTTCTTCGTGAGGCGCTCAATACTCGCCCAGATCCTGGGACGGATTTGCAGGTGGCTAGATCTGTAATTGTTTCTGGGGTTCTCTCGCTGCACATCCGTGTTGTCACGGTTTCTCCATCTTTATGCAAGTGTTCCGTCGGGTCAGGTTATGTGGGAAATCCTGGATGAAGCCAGGAACCCACCTGGCCTCACGATGATCAAGGTCCCTACACAAAGTGCAAAGCTCTTCTTGCTTGGCAGAGTGGTGCCCTGCAGCACAGGTGAAGGAGATGCTGGAAGGCACTTTTCGTGCCGGTGAGCAGAAGGATGCCCGTCGCTTGGATTCTGCGACAGCTAACGAACACATGGTGTGCATAGGCTTGGGCAGTCTTTCATGACGGCTCCCGGCAAAGCAAACAGAAGGTACTGTATGAAGCAGCATGAAACATTGATAGGCATGGTGGCAGAGGTGGTTGGCTGGCTTCGGTTCGTCGAGGGTTGCATGTGTTTGGAGAGTTTGGCTGTGTGTAGTGCGCGACGAGGATTTCGACAAGTTGGCACTCGTTTTGAACATCCTTTGGCAGACTTCACCCGAAGTTGTTGCCCCGAGTGGTCTGTCTGCATCTCTATGCGCCATGTCCGCTGCGGCCCGCCTGCCCGTTGCGGAGCGTCATGCGGAATGTCCGCTCTCCTTCGTGCCGCTGTACAAAGGTCCTGTGGTGTCTCAGCCAGCACGTGTTCCAGAAGAGTGCTCGGGATATCAATGCAGAGGTGTAGAATGGAACGTTAGGCTTGGCTAGTTTCCTTTGAGATGTCAGAATTTGTAAATGCCATGAATCCAATTATCAGCCCTCGAATATTTGGAGCCTTCCTTTGCAGCATGAGGCTGTCTTCCTGGATGCTGCCGGAAAGCGCGTTGGTCTGCAATTCTACAGCTTGCACGCTGCAAACGCCTTCCTGAAACGCCACGGCACTGGTGCGAGATGTCCCGTGACGAACTTACCGGTCGCCAAAGCACAAGAAGTGCCAAGCATCACAAAGGACAATCAGCTACATGAAGGGTAGGCTCTTCTGGATTTCCGGGCTTAAGCCTGCACATCCTTGTGGCACATGCTTCCATGCAGATGCCGAGTTGTTGAGGATCCAAAAGCTTGGTTCCGTCTGTGTGATGCCGATGGCGATCGCAAGCTGAGTCGCGATGAGGTCGTCTCTGCGCTGAAGGCACAACTGCCTTTAGACAACCGGGCGATAGATAGATTCCGGACTGATGATGCGGCTTGGCGTTTGTGGGATGCTGACCAGTGCCTTGTCTGTCGGGTTGGCAAGTGTTATCAAGCTTTGCAGTTGTAATTCCGATAACTCGGCTTGACGGGCAATTGTGGGCAGACATGTTCTGAGGAGTGGCTTCATTGAGTATATCGAGATCATGGATGACGACCAGGGCATCCTCAAATTCGTTCGTGATTCCTTTGCCAAGGTCGCCTCGGAAGCCCCAATCCCGGATTTGCGCAGAGATCGCGACAGTTGGTACAGGTGACCGGGCTGGGCAGGCTGGTAGGTCTGTAGGAGGAGGGGGCAGGTTGGCAGAGGGCCTGAGCCACTATTCCCTGCTATGTCTTCGCAGGTATTGGGACGAAGATGAGAGTGGCGAGCTGGAGTTTGAAGAAGTTGTAAGGGCTTTTGCCAAGACTTTCCAGATCGACGTGGAAGGAATCTCGCAGCTACGTGAAAGCTTAAGTGCAGTATGGATCGTTTTCGACACGGATAGCTCCGGGGCGGTGGATCGCCGAGAATTCTTGGCTCGGGATGGCTTGGCGGATACAGTTCTGGCGACCATGAACCACCGTTAGGCTTTGCGCAACAGAGCCAGTGCAGGTGGCAAAAGCGCAGGCCCAACCAGGCTTCGGATGTGTTCTGCAGGGCTCTTGCTTCGGCATAGGAAATCTCACTCGCACCATCTAGCCACATGTCCAGATAGCACACTCTGCTTGTATCAGAAAGCTCTTGCGGGACAAGTTTCCTATTGGCAGCAGTCCTCGATTTGCCGGTGTCCGAATGTGGCAAGGAAGCCTGATAGGAATGGCATGTGGCAACTTTGCGCTTGGGCTATTTTGGTGGCTGTGACAGCTGTGGTCAGTGTTTGCCATATTGAGCACCGCTGGTTAGCGGCACATCAAGAACTGGAAGCAAGCTTGCGATGGCAGCAGACGTGGCAATGAGCAAAGGAAAAGGACTTGCCATCCAAATGTTTGTTTTGAAGTCTGATTGGGGGGAAGGGGCCAAGGCTGCGGAGTTGGTAAGCTGCAGGGGAAATCGGATTCCACCCCAATTCCATTGAAGGTAAAAGAAAGGATTAGAAGCGATGTTTAGGGACATGGTCAAAGCATGTGCACTTCAGCCTCTCCTCAAACAAGAAAGGACATGCTTATTTAGAGGTCTAGGGAAATATCTTGACGACCTGACGCGTCATTCGCAGTTCCAATTGCGCTGCGGCTGAGGCCGGGGTTCAGTCGCTGGCCGAGAAATTCAAGCTCGACGAGCGTGCCGCATACAAGCTCAGTGAGGCGGGGACGCCTAGCAAAAATACAATAACAATACCGCCTAAGGCCTGGGGAAGCATATTCCACCGCTCCACTCGACGATTCTTTTGCACAGCAGTAGCAGTGCCTTGTGCAGTCTTCCAGGTCTTGTCCACAAAGCCGAACAAGTCGGGTACCCCAGCTTGTGGGCCTCGATGACCTCCTAATGTCTGTTACAATGCCGAGGAAGGACGTCCTCAAAGCCCTGGACACTCATTTGGCAGCTTGGAGCTTGGCACCGCTGGCAGAAAAAACGGTATCGGTAGGCTCCGTCGACAGTGCGTTGCACTTGCACTGCCGTGTCACCATGGGACTTCCCAGTGTCAGTATCCATCTCGGCAGTCGCTGAAGTTCAAGTTTGGATGCTTGAGTGCTTAAGGCCTCCAACAATCCATCAGCCCTCGTGATGCTGAAGCCAGCCCCTTTTGATTGTGTCAGCACATTCAACATTCATGAAAACTCCAGTCGCTGCGGAGATGTGGCACCCGTTGGAATGCTTGACATCGTTATTGCGACAGGTTGGCAGATCTCCGGAAAGATGTACCGCTGGGAGAGGTTCGACAGTTATGTTGTTCGTTTGGCGTGGTGTAGATGTGGTGTGCGGGTGTCCACGGGCTTCTGCAGTTTGCCACGCTAGTTTGGCATCGTGCGACTCTGAAGCATCAAGGAGCATGGTCAGAGACTCGCCCCGAACGCACATCTTCAAAGTGCCAAACGCCGTGTACAACGGGATTTGTGGGGTGGAAGTAGGTTTTGTGAGCCGTTATGCCAGGTCCCTTACGGCACCAAGGGCTACCGCGATCGCCACGAGCCTGCATGGTAAGTGTTTGAGCGTGGATTCGGTGCGGGATTCCTTGTTTTGCACCTTTGATTCCCAGCGAACCTTTCCAGGCCCGTACCTCGGGAACTACGACCGTGATGGGCGGCGCGTGGGACGGGGAGAGGCTCATGCTCCTAAAGCTCTCGTGCATGCACGGGTGTGCGTCGTGCTTCATTTCTGGCGTGCTACAGAATCATGCCAGGTTAACATTGGCGAAGGGCCTCCCCGTGATCGTCTGCTCCTCATGCTGTGGCTGTTCTCGGCAGTTTGCGAGAAATCTCCGCCTGGCAAGGTGAAAAAGGGGACAAGGGAGATAGGTGCGGGCGGTCAGCTTGTCCTCCACAGTGTTGTGTAGCTTGCACCAGCCCGAAAAGAAAGCTTGACACAACAGATGCCACAGCCCGTCCTTTCTTTCGGGCTGGCAGCCCGTAATTTTGTGCTATAGTCGCTGCGGCAAAGTGGCCAGCGATGGCGGCAGACGACTGGCGAGACAGCAATGTAGGCGCAGTTGGCGGCGATGAAGACAAGGCTACGAGAAAGATGGCTGCGATGAAGGAGCCTGCTTGGGAAGGGCTGGGCACGAAGCCTGGCATCCAAGTCTGGCGCATTGAGCACTTTCAAGTGGTCCCCGTGGAGTCCACGAATCATGGGCAGTTCCACAAAGGAGACTCATACATTGTGCTGCATTCAGAGCAAGCAGCAGACGGCAAGCTGTTGCACACTATCTTTTTCTACATAGGAGCTGAGAGCTCCAGTGACGAGAAGGGCACAGCAGCATACAAGACAGTTGAACTTGATGACTTCCTCGATGGTGAGCCCAAGCAGGTGCGCGAGGAGATGGGCAAGGAATCGCCAGCCTTCTCTGCTCTCTTCCCCGATCTGAAATATCTGGATGGCGGAATCGATAGCGGCTTCAAGCATGTCGTGCCTGAAGGGCATGATACAAAACTGTACCAGGTCAGGAAGGTGAAGGGTAAAACTTCGGTCCTGCAAGTTCCGGTCAGAAAGGCAACTTGGACTGCAGACGATAAGGCAGATACAGTCTGCAGCATGGGTACGATTTGATGGTAGAGTTGCAGAAAGTCTGGCAGGATATGGTCAATGACTCCGACAGTTTCGTCCTAGATGCAGCAGACAAGATCTATGTCTTTGATGGGCCCAGTGCCTCGCCCCTTGGCAGTTTTTTGACAAGCCGAGCTACCTTTGGCACGCGTCTCTGCATGGTGAAGGCCTTTCGAGAAGCAAGCTGCTAACCGACATGCGGAGCATCTCGAGAGTTTGAGGTGCCGTTGCAGGGCAAAGGGCAGGGGGTGTAGAGCATGTAGATTCTAGATTGTGAATCGTTTTCGCAGAAGTTGTTTGTCCTTTGGCAGGGGCGGCCATGCGCAAGCTACGCACGATGTCGACGACACATTCTGGGCTCTGTTGGCAGCTTCCTGACTCTTCCTGCTTTTCTTCTGCTGAAGTTCCGCAGGATGTTACTTTTGCTGATTGGTAGCTGGCATGCTCCAGAGTTCATGCACTGAACAGCCAGTCTGCACAGCGGGACAAAATGAGCCCTGCCCTCGCCTTCCTTGCTGCCTTTTTCCAGCGTCGACATCAGTAGTTTTGCCACAGCCGGCGGGAGGCCAGACCGTGAGCGTGGTCGAAACGGCGAACGTGACCGCGATCGTGGCGATCGCGGCGATCGCGGCGATCGCGGCGACCGCGGCGACCGCGGTGACCGCGGTGACCGTGCCGACCGCGACCGCAATCGAGATCGTGGCGACCGAGACCGGGAGAAGGAGCGCGGTGAGCGCGGCGACCGGGACCGTGATCGCGGTGAGCGTGAAGCTCGCACACATGGCGAGGGAGGCACTCACAGTTGCATTCTTGTTTTGTGCTTAGTCCCTGGAATGAGATGGCTGCTGTGTCGAAGGTGGCGATCGACAGGCTCGCTTGCTGCGTCCTGCTGGAAAGTTCCGGACGTTAACGCAGCGGGATGTTCTAGGAGCGGCGCGGCAGAAGCAGAAGCGAGGATCTCAGATTCCAGACAGCTGACTGGCCTTCGCTCGGGCGTGCGGCGTGTGGGCAGGCCGCCGTCGGCGGAGCCGCAGCCGCGGAGCGCCGGGCCCGGCATGGCATGGGATGGATGGGTTACGGTACCCATGTCCCTCGCTTTGGATTTCCTTCCGGTCAGTGCCCGCCTCTGGCTCGTCGCTGCAAGTCTCTTGTGGTTATCGTGGTGTCAAGACGTGAGTCGGAAACAGCCTTGGCCCCAGAGAATCAAACTTGTTAAATGGGGCCATGTCGATTTAGCGAAACCCGGAAATCGGTCAAGCACACAGGCACGGGAACACTTGCACATCCTGTGCCAATTCTGTCTCTCGCTCTGCTGCAGGAGGAGTTCCCAAGGTCACGTCACGTTTCATGGTCATGCGAGGGAGTTGTCGATGTGTAATTCCCGTTATGTCACCTCTACAGCTACAATCCTGCAAAGCTTTCTGGGTGGTGCTTGTGAGCCGCAAGAGAAGTTGTGCAATGGATTTCTTTGCAACCAAGGCTGCAACCACGTGAGGTGGGAGCAAAGCACTGCCATTGCCTCCAGGTTTCAGCCGCTTTCTCTCGAGAGCGAGCCGCGAGCCCCTCTCGCATGAAAAAGCTTCTGCCAAGTCTGCAAGCCTCTCGGAATGCTTTTCGATTGCGACTCCTGCGAAGTGCTTCTCCGTGTCTTTCAACAGCTTTAGGGCTTTAGGGCTTCATGGGATGGGCTATGCCAGCCATGGAGAGCGAAGGCCTCACGAGATGGGGCGAGAAACGTCTGTCTGCTTCACTGCTTGTCGCCTGACAATTGCCGGCCTTCTCGTGCAAGGAGGCCAACCTCCTGGAATGGAGCCTGCTTCACCTCGCAAGGCGAGATGTGAGAGCATAGAAAGCGCAAGCAGTCATCGTCACAAAGCCGGCAAAATCTTCCCTGAAGCGTTGTCATGCGTTGTCAACCGAGGGTTAGGATTCATGAACACAATAAGACAAGACGGGTCGTGAGCAACTATCCCCCGCTCAGGCTTCTCGATGTTTGGCCGAGCTGCTCCAGTCGGACGAGGGACAGGTGCTTTTGGGGTGAGGCTCGCTGAGGACTTCAGAGTTGAGGTGGAGTTGTACAGTTGTGAGTTCAGGCCGCGTCGTGGGTTTTATCTTGATCGCATGCCTGAGTGCTTTCAGGGCTGTCATCCCAGATGAGCCGTGACTGCTGAGACCTCCGTTTTGCCGCATCTCCACATCCCTAGAGTGGGATCCTGCCTCACCAGAGGTGCTGAGGTTGTCCGTGTGGACATGTTTTGTATGTCCAAGATCTATAGCAATGGTTCTTTGCCACTGCATTCATTCGAGGCCTGCTGCAACCCCACAGTTTCGGAACACAGATGTCTGTCCTATTCGCTCAGTTTCTCGATGGCATACTCAAACGGTGTGCGAGGCGTCGGCGAGAACGAATCCACCCGGGCGCAACAGCTTCAGGATGCTTGAGTTGTACTTTTGCCCGAGTTTCCTAGGTGCACTTCCTGATCAAGTTCCTGACGCAGAGAGGGAGAAGCGCAGCATCCGAGATGAGGCCAGAAACGTCTGGCATAGTTTTGCAAGGTCGTCCTGCATCATGGCCTCTGCAAGTACGACTGCTCGCACGAAGCTCGCTGGGACAGGAATCGATTGGCAAAGGACAAACCTGTTCAAGCCCGTGGCTACCACTTCAAGAAAGAGGTGGCCCAGGGCAGTGGGCTTCCTTATCCTTCATCCAGTATCGTGCATCTCGCTAGGTGATCGCGGAGGCTCTGCGCTGTTGGCAAGAGAATGAGGGACAGAGGCACCCAAACTCTTCCTGCAACGAGAAATTGCAGTACACTTTTTGCTGCAAGGACACCGAAGCTCACCGTGCTCAAGACTCCTGCCAGCTGGACAGGTGGCGAAGGCATAGCTGCACAGAGTCACAAATTATGCGGCATCGGCATTGCTGCCAAGCAGCAGGCGATGGGAAACCACGCTTGCTCCGCAGGCCGCGGCCGTTTCTGTGACCGTGCCACTCTGTGTGTGTGGGTGTGTGTACGTGTTTGCGCACACCAGCAGGCTGCAGGTCGGCAGAAAGGAGGGGGCTCCCAAGCAGGCAGCCGGCAGACGTGGTACATGACAGCATCACGTCCTCCCTAAAGATCACTCAGGCCAGATGTGACGAGGGTGCGATGTTGAAATTTGCTTCAGGTGCCGGTGGAGCAATACAGGCCCGCTTTGTGGAAACTGTTTCAGCGCACGGTGCACCAGCATCGGAGGCGTGCACAAACATGTCAATCGAAATTGGTCAGGTTTTCACATAAAGAGGCCGTTCTGCAAGTGATTCATACAGACTGAGGCATGGTTGCGCCAAGATGCGCCAAGTAGAGAACTAGAGATAAGTCGCCGGAGAGCATTGGATTCCAAATGAGGTGTTTAGGTTCCCCATGGCTCTGGCGAACTGCCGCAGCATCCACCGCCGTGGCAGCGGCTGCGATTGGAAGGCGTCGCCGCAGCGATGCCCACTGCGCTGCGAGGGAGGCGTGTCGTCATCTCATTGCGACATCCAGAGAGGTCGTGCTTCAAGGTTGTAGCGCTGCAGGCTGCCCGTGTGGACCACTCCCTGACAAAGGAGATTTTGTCCAGTGTATGTCAAGTGTGCTTGCCTTATCGGAACTGGCCTCAGAGTGTCCCGGGCAAGGAAGTTGCTTCAACACGCTGGCTGAAGTTGCAGACTTTGACATACCGAGCCATGTCGAAAGAAGAGAGCATGCGGTGATGAAGCTATCAAAGCATGCGCAGCCCCACGAGGAGACGAAGCAGGCCGAGATCGGCGATGGGACAGCGTCTCCCGGACAACTCGGCGTGCTGTGGCGACGGGCGCCACGGAGACGGATGTAGATGCAGTGGCAATCCTTGCATTGCTGCGATCCTCGTTGAGCCCTGGGCGGGCTGAAACACTGCTGGTCCAACAGGCTTTAACAACCTAAACTCTTATTAGCAGCTCTGCTTGCCTTGCGATCGTAAGTTCGAAGCTGTTGGTCTGAACTCTGCAACTGTTCATGGCGACCGTGTTCCCGCAGTTCCGCCCGCCCGTGGACTGCCCCACCATCGAGCTCCCAGCTGGCCTTGTGGACGAGGGGGAGACAGCCGAAGAGGTGCGGCTAGCACATGCAGATCGTGGAACTGAGGAATGTAGAATGTAGAAGCTTCTTGAGAAGGCATGTTGGCGCCTGTGCAGGCAGCCCTGCGAGAGCTCAAGGAGGAAACTGGTTACATCGGTACGGTCGCTGAATGCTCGGGGGTTCTGACAATGTCCCCAGGGCTTTGTGATGAGATGATACGGCTCGTGGTCGTCGAGGTAGACCTAGATCGACCGGACTCTTAGCTTTTTTCTCCTCATTTTTGCAACTGCGACTAGTTGTCAGCGTGCCCCCTTCTTTGGCGATCTTTGCAATGCAAGGAAAACCAGTCACCAGAGCAGCAGTTGGAGGAAACAGAGCGGATAGTGGTGCGGCGCGTGCCCCTAGATCAACTTCTGCAAGAGCTCGAGGCACTAACCCGAGAAGGATGCATGCCGATCGCAGGCCGGCAAATTGCTAACGGTGTCGAAGCTTCAGAAGACACGTAGGCTGCAGGTTGTCAGTTTCAACCGCGTCAGGCTTACACTTCTTGGCGGTGGGCTTGCGCCTTGGCCTTCTGCAACGCTTCTTCTCCGAGCCCCTGGCGGTTCCCGGTCCCGGCGGTGGCAGTGGCCAGATGCACCTCTGCCGAAGTCAGAGGGCCGAGGGCACGTCGAAGGTCCATTTTGTTCCGGCTCTTCCCTGCTCGAGGTCTTCAGGATGACGAGGATCCCGCTCCCCGAGGAAAAAGGAGTCACTGCATCTCGAGGGCCGAAGCTTCAGTCTCAGAGGCATTGCGGGCTCTTGTGGCATGTGGTCGTCTTGTGGCAGGGAGCCAGAAGAGGGCGGAGCCACACTGACGAGGCCCGGCCGACCTTGAAACTTGAGTCCCGCAGTGCATCTCACGTCTTCGTGGCCAGGGCCTGGCTTGAGATGGCGCAGGCTCGTGGACTCCTCAGAGACGGCGACGCAAAGACATCAAGATACTTGTAGCACCTGGCCTGCTGGCAGCCAATTCAAGCTGTTTTCCACACGAGTGCCCTTGGGCAACATTTGGCAACCATGTGAGAAGTACAGCGCTCCACCTGGTTGTTTGATGGTAGCTACAACTCTCACCAGCAATGATTCGACTAGGCCTAGGCTTTTCAAAGGCATCCCAAGGCTTGCTTCGCAATGGACGGGGATGCAAAGCGTTTGGCTTCGGACGATGACGGGGTGCCGAACCCTAAGCGACCCAGGAATGACCTGCCCAGGGCTAAGACTCACGAGGAGGAGCTGGATGATCTCATCGCAAGCGGGCTTTTGGATGAGCCGTCTGATCCCCCTGAGGAGATTGCCCGACAGACTTTTGCGGATAACTTCTCCTCCAAGGGCTTTCGAGTTCAAGAGGAGGACCTGCCGAAACTCCTGGCAGAGGTCATGGAAAAGGGTCCGGAATGGGGTGGCGCACGATACTGGCGATGCGCAGCCCTCTTTGTCGGCTGCATGGCGAGATCTACGAGGTCATGCCGCATTGCATTCGTGGCACACCCGAAAGGTTTGAGCCTCCTGGGCCTCGTGCTGAAAGAGGCGGTCTCACGATTGGAGGCTCCAGGCTCACATCATGAAGCGAGCATGCTCGCTCTGGCATGCCTTACATGCCTGAAGGCTTTGCCCTTGGGGCGTGCCTCGCTGTGGGAACACCGGCAGGCTATTGGCAAGCCTTTTGACCAGCTGCACAAGTGGTGTGCCAAAGACCGCAGCGCCATCGCGGCCGAACTTCGGGCTCCGACTCTCGAGCTGTGCCAGCGCTGGAAGCGGCAGCCGAAACCGGCAGCCCAAGAGCAAACCCACAAGGCGGGGAAAGGGGAAAACGACGCATCAGTTCTTGGGGTCGTTTCTTGCCGAACGGAAAGGAGAGCTCCACCCTGCCAGGAATTGCGGGGAAAGGTCCTCGGGCTAATCTCCAGCGGTCTGCATGGCCGCGGCACCTCTCCGTTGGCCTCTCCGGCTCCAATGAGCTCACCTGCGCAGCTGCCAGGAAATCTGGTCGCCGCCGAGGTGGAGAGTTCTTTGTGGGGCCGCTATGGTGCGAACAAGACAGCAGAGTACCGTCACCATGCTCGGATGCTGCGGGCCAACCTGGCTTTGCCCGGCAACGCGGAGCTTCGTGCAAGGGTTTTGGCCGGAGATCTCAAGGCAGAGGAGTTGGTGTCTATGGACTCAGGTGCCCTGGCCCCGGACGAGATCCAAAGGCAGCGCCGGGAAGTTCAACTCAAGGCCATGAAGGAAGCTGTTGTCGAAGACCTTCAGCCTGTAAGGGCAGAGGATGGAGAGGGCTCACCTTTCGATCCAGGTGCAGATCTGAACACTGCACCTCTGGTTTGGCGCAGCCCGACGAAGGATACCAAGCAAGAGAGTCAAGAAAGCCAGGGTGATCAAGAGGAGGGAGCCACGGGTTTGCCCATGGTCCCGCCCCCCACACCTTTCCGACTCTCCGTGGCCACGCCAACTATGGAACCAGCGACATCAGACATGCCTGAAATGCTCGCCACGCCAGGCCCAGATGACGAAGACGATGACCTGATGGCCGTCTTACGGTTCCTGGCCTCCTCACCATGACAACGCGAAACATTCGGAAAGGATCTTGCTTGTGAAGTTGGTGATGTGTGAAACTTGATAAAAACACCGGTTCGTACTGCTTTCTGATTGTATACCATTGTATTCCAGTTCTGCCTCAAGGCCGCAAGCAAACCAGCTGGACCATGCGTCGCGGGCTAAGGATGTCCGCCGTGCGCCGTGTAAATGCATGTTCAGCACTGTCCTTTAGACGGAGAAGTCTGGACACTGAAAGCGCCAACATTGCTTGCCGGTGCTGTGAGTGCTGTGGTCTGTTCGCTGCTGCCAAGTTTGCATCAAGATCGGATTGCCCAGCTTTGGCCAATGTGATTCAATGTCAGTGTAGACTTAGCAGATGGCCTCCTTCGGTAGAGGTCGTGGATATGCTGGTGGTGGTGGCGGCTTTAACTCCTTCTCGGGCGTGCGGCTGAGAGCCAACAATCGTGGGAGGTTAGACGCAGAGCCGGCAGACTTTGATGTGGACTTCAGTTCATCCCTTGAGGCAGGTGCATGCCAAAACATGAGAATCACTTGCAAGCAATGAGGAGGTGTTGCGCACGTAGGACTCGCCCTCGCCAGGTCGATCTTGGTGCAGGTTTGGGCACGGGAGTCCAACGCGACTCCTTCGGCTTCACTTCCCAGTCAGGGAATCGATTACGAGGTCTGAAGGCCGCCAGCTTTCAGCATGTACCAAGCAGCTCTTCGGGTGCGAGGCCCCTCGGCGGCGTGCTACAGGGCTTGGAACAGATGCCTTTCGACCACCAGATCAGAGCGATGCGCTGGAGGGGGGATGGTGTGTGCTGCTTTATCCTGGCAGGGAGTGGTGGGATCGATGCTTTTCGAGCATCGCGAGTGTTGCCGCATTTGCTGCACTTGAGCACGCTCAGCACCGGACACCTGTCGCAAGCAGATCTCAGTGGATTTCGGGCCTGCGTGCTCCTGGCTGACCTTATGGATTGGCCGGCCAGCGAGGAGAACGCACCAGACCTCCTTTCCGCATGCAAAGAGCTAGCATCAAATGGTTCTGCAGTTGCCGTAGTTGCAGTTTTCTTGTCCTTCATCCCGGGCGGACCCGACAGGGATGCAGCATCCACTGCTGCATTGCAGAATGCCGTGCTTGGAGCCGGAGCAGACTGTGTCTTATTCTCATGCCCCACGCATCCGGTGACTTTCCGGCACTTGCAAACAGCCATTCAGGGCACAGAGGCCTGGCACGAAAGGATCGCAGAAGCGATTGAGAGTGCCCAGGCCAAGTTGGCCAGGGCCCAGGAGCAGCGCTGGCAGAGGCACTACCAGATCGCACTTCGGAAGATTGTGTGGAAGGCACCCCAAACCGTCTTTCCACACATCCCTCAGGAGGATGGGGACCTGCAGGAGCGTGAAGATGGTGTTGGAGACTGCTCGTTCGTTCGCGTGATCGGGTCTGGCGCCTTTGGCAGCGTCTTTCTTGGGCGACATCCTAGGCTCGGTGATGTCGCCGTGAAGGCCATCAAAAAGGCATCCATCAAGAACATCTTTGACCTCGCCAAGGTGGAGCGGGAGCTGAGCATCCTCATGGGAGTGCTTGACCATCCCAATGTGCTGCAGATTCTGTCGTGTCTGCACAGCACGCACCGTGGCTGCCCAGACATCATGTAGTCCCTGGCTGAGCCAGCACGTCACCACGTGGGTATGGGCATGTATGGAATAGTGAGACAGTAAGTATACGGATGTAAATCAGCAAGCCACACTTACGACTGCCAACGACCAGGCTATCCAAGTGGTTCTGCAACGTCCGCTCAGGGTTTACGTCTTCACTTCAATTTTCCGTCGCGCCGTGTACACTGTCATTTGTACTTAGTGATGTCCTCGGACTAGTGGCTGTCCACCGTGTGCGTGCTCGGCCCCTATAGGCGAATTAGAGCAAGTCGGGGGGCGCCTTCAAACAAGCGAGTTACCCCGCCGAAGTCCGTGACAGCGCCGACCTTCATCCCTCGGTTATCGAGTATAACGATGAAATCGGGTTAGCAGTGGACAGCTGCCCAAGGGAGGAGTGTTTACGAATCGTTGGAAGAGACAAAGATGCGAGCAAGAACAAAGTCAAACTCAAAAAGAAGCTGACAAGCACAGAGAGGATAAGCGTGCACTGCCGGATTGTTGCTGGGGATCATGCTTGCCTCCATTTTGGTATGAGGTCCTGTAGCAGCAGTGGAAGGTGCAACTTGTACAAGGCGGTTTTTTCTTCTGAATTTCCGTCTCGGGTATGCGTCGTGGGGTTGACGCTACGTAGATGTTCCTGAGATCGTGATTGCATGCTTGAGCAGCAGTTCCGATTTCTTGTTTGGTAGGCTGCGTCGTAGCACGGCTGCCAAAACGCTGTTGTGGCTTCTGTCGCCACGCTGGGCGAGACAGTGGGCAAAAGCCACCTAACACAAACTCAAATCAAAAATGGGCCTAAGGTCTGGAGAATTTCCGTGCTTAGCCGCCACCATAGGCCCAGGCACGTACTGGGCACGTGCGAACCAGGCATCACCAGACCTGCCAGCGTGCAGGTGGGGTAGATTCAGGGACGACACCTGGCTGTTGAGTTATGAGTGGCGAAGCACATCTATGAAACAGCAGTTACAGGCCGAAAAACAAAGCAATATGATGACTCACCAGCGAACGTCAAACTTACGCCAGCGGAAGTCCCCTCGACCGGGGAGTTCACTTCAGAGAGGTGATGTTTTGATCCTCGCGGTTTGTATCAAGTCATTGGCCGTCATCATCGCCACAGAATCACATCGAACTGCGAGATGGGCACGCCAGTCAACCTATGCACGGATTTTTGCCGCCGGCAGCAGCAAGTTGGGTGCGTCCAAAGATGGTGGAGTTGGCGGGTTGGAGTTAACGGCCATGAGCCGTTTAGCTTGTCTTAAGATTGTCTTGTTCCGACATGAGACTTTCAGACCCAGTGGAGACGTTAGAGCATGTAGTTTCCCGCGTGTCCTAAAGTCTCAGATCCGTCACAGCAGAGGAACAACTTGTACATTGTCATGGAGTTCCTCGGGGAGTACACTCTCCACACCTATTTACAGCTTCGGCAGTCAGGATCTGCCCGCAATGTGGTAATGCTACCGTTTCAGGAGGTGGGGCTTGTTTCAGATA